AGTATGTTGCCATTGTTAATAATACTTTTCTTCTCAATTGACCTTGCCTCTATCTAAAATTCGTGTTTGATCTCATTTAGATTAAATATTTGATTTATGACACACTATGCGCACCAAAGATAAGTCATTCTTCATGAATAGATGACCTTCACATAATGCAAAAGAGACGAATGCATGTCACATATTGACATTATATTAAAAAAAACACAATTTGCGAATATTTCTTCTAAACAGAAGTAGAACTATACAGAAAATTCATTTATTATTGCAAGTTTTGAACACATTATACGTATTATCATCAGGTAATCTAGATGATTGTAACACAAGTTCAAGGTTACATTGAATTCTATTACGATTCATCGTTTTTATTTTTTTCATTTGAATATTGTTGAATAATCAATTAATTGCAAGATCTATTCCAATATTGAATCTAAAAAGTCAGCAAGAGGATGGAAGACATGGGCAAGAAACGGTTTTCGAAGCATATCGGAGGTAGCCAAATCTATCTTTTTTCGTTTCTGCTAGGGAAAAATGAAAAAAAGAATTCAACAACGCCTGGCTGAATGTTGCTTTGTCACCCCATTGATATTTAATGTTGTTTTAAGAAAAAAAATTCAATTTAATGCATCAATCACAAAATAATCTTCATCCACTAACATATTAAAATAAATAATGTTCCTCGAAAAAGTCATACTATATATATTCATAGCAACAAAAACTTAACACAATATACAACAAATCATATCAAATTAAAAGCTGAAAAACAGGATTCACAAAAAAGTTTTTGAGAACTTTTTTTGATGAAATATATGACTAGAATGATAAATTTCCTTGATATTATTAATTTTGACACTGATTCATGTATTATTAAGGCAAAACAGAGGCAACAATTCGTTTCGTCAAATATGCTAGAATAATGCATTTTGATTACATTGTACTGATGAGATCTGGATGACAAGCGATTTTAAAGGTTATATTCGAACGTCATCTCCTAAGTAGAGCGCGTTGGCTTCGGATCCGAATATATTGAACGCAACGAGTTCTAATCGTAAGCATGATGACAATACAGCTGGTGCACTTGTTTAGTTCAATTACAGAGAAAGACGTGAGTTGACTATTGCTGGCCTTCTTTTTAGTGAAGAAATGTCAAATGGACTTTTGCCAATTGACCAATGTAGAAGAAAAAGTTTCAAGAACAGAGCTCAATTATTATAGTGATTACTACAGATTTAACTCTTTTACTACACTAGTTAAAGTAACTCATCCGTCATATACCACTTACAATAGAATTCGTATGAGGATGAACTGGAAATCAGTTAGGCAATATTTTCAATTGTTAATCAATAAGTAATGGATAAACAAACAGATTTATTGCATTTAGAAATGTTATTGAATGAACGCAAATGGGTTCCTTTTTTTGAAGCTATTACACTGGCAATTAAAAAACAATTCTAAATGCTATGAATGTAGCAAAAACAACGAACGAATTCATGAAAGTAAAATCTAGGTTATTCCAAACGAAAGAACGCGTAGCATATTGAAAGAATACAATAGGTTGCGAAATAACTGACAATTATGCATAGGTACATCTCTCGAAAAAAAAAGAAAATTTTTACTAATAAAATAACACAGTTTTTACTTAGGATTAACCAAAAGTAATGATCACGACGTTTTAAATTTTATAAAATAGTTAATATCTGAAGTTTTTTTTGCATGAATATATAATAGAATGTTTCGTTTGTACTAGAATGTGAGTATGGGTGGATATGAGAATTTTTTAACAATATATAAACTATGATATTCTATATAAATAATTCAGCTGATGACTCAAATAGAAGCAGGAACACTACTTTGTATTCGTGATTCAATAAAGTGTTCAAACAAGACTAAATTCTGAAGATAAAAATAGTTTTGAGATCAACTATTATTAATGATACTGAAGAAGGTGTAAGGTTTTTCATAAGTCTTGAGGTGCGACAAAATTGGTTTATGAACAGACAAAACTCAATTCCTAATCGAAATATTTTATACAAGCATTGAATACTTGTATTTATCGTTTGACTAACATGTTATTGGATAATATCTTATCTTCTAATAATAAAACTATAAACATGAGAATGTAAGAATAAATTTTTCTCAATCAACCAATGTGATTGTTTAATAATGTACTGAATAATTCTTCATAAAAATATATTGTAGTAGATGTCAATAATTATTTATCTTAATCGATTATTTGACGCTCATAACGATTCCCTGATTGCATGTTTAATCGAACAATGTACTCATGAACTGAATTGAAACTAATAAAAGATTTAGAAATCTCGCATGAAGAACGAAACATAAAGAACAAAGATTACATTTTGAACTATTGATGAATTCTTTCATAATCGACTTTTACCTCGAGAAGGTGATCTTAAATTTGCTAACGTATGGTCTATGGAAAGTATCTGGATAGCATTAACGAAAAAAGTACGAAAAGAATGATTTTCAAGCTTTAAACAAATGAAAAGAAAGTGATGCACGATAAATAAATGAGATGTTTGTGTAATCAGATTAGTATAAGAGTGTTTTTCATCACATTCTTATATTTCTAATTTTATTACTAGAAGACAAGATATTATCCAATAATATGTCATTTGAAAAATTAATGCAAATACTTGAAGCTCATACAAAAACATTACGTTGAAAGTTATTTTCTGCCTGAAAAAAAATTAATTTTGTCAGACATCAATACTTATGAAATATCATACATTGATGCTAAATTGATCAGTAACTTTGAATTTAGCTGAAAAAATTCAATGTCTGATAGCAATTAATAGAAAAAAAAACTTGCAATTTTTCTTAACATATCAAACTTGTATTCATTATACTTGTGATATAATGTATTGATTTGCAATATTAATCAAAAATGGACACGTAGATTTTATATGTTGATAAAAAATCAAGGTGTATTCGATTTTTATATACTCGCATGACGAAATAAATTTGTTGACTCGTCAATAGAGAATGACTTGATTTATTTGAATAAATTGTGTTGAGTCGTACAATGAGTTGTTGATCAATATATTTCACAGCATGGGGGGTATAGCTCAGTGGTAGAGCATTCGACTGCAGATCGAGAGGTCCCTGGTTCAATCCCGGGTGCCCCCTAGTCTGTTCTTTTTTTTTCTTCTTTCTTTCATTCACACAACGTCTTTCTATTGTTTTATATTCGTACATTGTTTCTTCATTACTTTTGATGATTACGGAACAAATAGTACAATTATCATATGAAACTAGTTTTTTTTATAATTCGACAGTTTGTTTATTGACAGATAAAATTTTATGAAAACATGTTTATTATGATACTACAATATTCATTCATCATATTAACGATAGATGGCAGAATAGCAAGAAATGATGCCTTCTTTCTTTCTTATAATAAATCATCAAAACGTTACAGCATTCGCTCACATATGATTGGCAACAGGTGCAATGAAAAGAATATCATAAATAAAGATAAGCATATATTCCTGGTATTTTTTATTTAGAACTTGTAAACATTAAACATATGACTGGTCGCTAAATGCAGATTATCTTATTTTCAACTATATCGTTGTAAATTGTTCAGTTAATTTTGATTAACTGATTGAATATTTTTTCAAGCTTCTAAAAATATTCAGTTATTTTACTCTTCGACAGGTGTATTGTTATGCTTTATATGTAGTTTTTTTTATATATGTAAAGCGTGATTGTCTGGATCAGTGAGACAATTGTATTCTTTAACCACAAAACAAAACATGAATCGATTTGAGATAACTGTGACTTAATTAGGACAACCTAGGGTAAAAATCAAACGATGTCTTAAAGTACTCTTTTAATTAGTATCTTCGAATTATCCGAAAGGTAGATATTGATTGTTGTCAAACTTCATTGATACCTAAGTTTTTGAAAATAATATTTATTCTTTTTCATTCATGTGTTATCAATCTCGAAATTATTTGATAAATGTAATTGACTGACTGTTGGTAAGCTCAGACATAGACGAACATCGATATATTTTTACTGTCATGATATTTTCACATTGATTGATGTTTTCTACTTACTCAGAACACTGCATGTGGATGACGCAACAGTGCTTAAAATTAACACGTTCTAAACCTATCAATTAAGATTTTGGAATGCTAAAGAATTATGACAGTCTTGATGAAAATTCGTTGACTCAATCAAACCGATACTTAATTTCGTTGTATTAGATGGATTTTTGAATGTTTTATTCAATTCAAGATAGGAATTTATCTGTAGTAATTGAAGGAAAAAGAATATTGAACGGTCATTATTTCATGATCCTATTACGATTATGAAGATCAGAAGATATCAACATCGTACACGTACGTGTCAATAAGAATTTTTTTATTTATAATTATTTTTTAATTTTTCATGGAATAGAAACTATTATCTATTCTTTTACAATAGTGAATAAAAGGGACAACAATTTTTAGTGATTAACATCCAAATGAATTTCATTGAAGTTCTTATTGATTTTATCAAGAAAAAATTTTTAAAATAGTGAAATAATTCTACATGAAAAAAAAAATAATTTGCACTGTAACATTCCTGTATTTTTTAAGATCTTTAATGTTTAAATACATAGTATCTAACATACATATGTATATTAGATTATACCAACATTCATTCTTTAAATAGCAGTCATGTTTTTTTTTCCGATTACTACTTAGGTTATGATTATGCTTTTCTATATGGCACCATCCGTAATATTTTATCGTCTGTGTGGTTTTATCGATGAAAGTAGTAATTAGCAGAATATTGAGTATCTTCTATTTAGAATTTTAACATTTTTAGAATTATATTTCTGAATTCTATTGCCAAAATATATTCAATAATAATAAAAAAGTATTATGAAAAACTTTTAAGACGTTCAATTAGTCTAAATAAAATTCAAGAAGTCAATTTTATGCGAATGATGAACTATTTTATATTACAAAGGCAAAAAAAATAAATTAAATAATAGTTCGCTCTCCAACACTTGGTAAAGATGTCGCATATTGAGAGCAAGTCTGATTGACTTGAAGTGATCCCATCATTTGATATTCTGGTTCACTAGTCGATTCCCATTCACAAAGATCTGACTTGATGGTTTGTATTTCGTGTGATGCACCTTGTCGTACGATCCAAGCACCCTTACCTGCTAAACCTTGAGCAATCATACCAAATGTTGATTTCGATGTTATGATAAGATGTTGCATTTTTGATAGTATAAGTAATTCTGCCAAAGTATATTGCATTTTTTCAACTACATTAGCAGTTTCAGGTGCTTCTGGTGAATTGAGTATTTTCAAATTTTTATATATGTTTGAAATATGATTTTCTAGTTTTTGACGACGTTGTCGAGTGTTTGAAATGATATATAAGTGAATTTTAGTTTCATCTTTATCAGATCTATGAATTAGATTATTTTATAAACTTTCAATTATAAATAACGTTCATTTACTTACTTACTAACATTTTTTATGACATGTTCAATACATTTTTGAAATGGCTCAATGTGATTAATCATATTTGCTGACCAACTACGCATATGAACTCCGATTGTAATAATTTTATTCTCTAAAGTATATTTTGTTTGAAAATCTTTTATAATTGAATTAACTTTTGGTACAGGATGTAAAAGTTTTGTTGCTAATTCTGAGAAAACTTGTCCATTTTGAAAAAGTGTAATAAATGCTTGTCGTGTCTTTTCATTTCGCTTTAATAATGGTACAAAATATTGATCAGTTCGAAACCATTTAACATGATGACTAATAAAGTTTAAAATATAAAATCCAAATTGTACAAACCATGATTGTTTGTATGTTTTATTATTACATAAAATTTCACGATCAAAATAAAATGCCCAATCAATTGGTATTCGACTATTTTTTGTTTTAGATTCAATTTCATTCATCCATCGATTTTTCATCAGATTAGCTAATCTTGGCAATGAATATTGATAATAAAAAGGAACATTGTCTGATAATGATAAAGGCAAAAAAAGATCTTCGAAAGACGCTTGATGATTATCACCTGGTTGCCAGTTTATTAGAAGAACTCGACTAGTGACAAGAGCATAAGTAGTAACAGCTATTAAACCAAGAATGCGATTACCTAAACCATTAACTGCATCAAAAACAACGTAATCTGCATCAGTAAATAAATTTTCAATAATACAAGTTCGATAAGCAGCGTAAGAATTGAGTAAAATGGTTATATTGCAAATTTTATTCGATAAAGCACATGCTTGAAAGGAATTAACATTATATAAATGAGAACATGAAGAAGATACAAATAGATTTTTACGAATACTATAAAGAAAATAGATAATAATTATAATTGTCACTAAAATCTTGATTTTGAAAGATTTTATTTTTGTGAACTTCATCTAACATTGATTATGATAAATAAATGTTTCCCATATACTAAGTCATCTACAGATGTAAAATAAAACAAAAAAGGATGAATTTTTCTATAATTCATTGTATAAATTCATCATAACAATAAAGGTATACTGTGTCTCAGCAGAAAGTCGTTTCGTTCGGCCTATCAATAGTAGATGCTTTTCTCACTGTCGCCACCTATAGACAAAAGTCGGGTAATGGATAAACCAAAATAATTCTAATTTATCCTTAATTAGCATAAGATAAGAAGTAATTTGACACTAGTCTTGTTTGAAGCAAATGCATTTTACTTCAGATATTCACTACAGAGCTGTTTCCATAATAATGTAGAACACTGAAACGACACTAACGGCACGCTTTTCAAAAGATAGTACGTATTTTCAACATGTGTTCCTTAAAAAGAATACATGCCCTGTATTAAAATTTTTCCCATATCATAGAATCTTTGATTTTTACTCCTACTCTTTTGTATGATATAACTTAAAATGAAACCGATGGTATCAAATATAGAAATAATAAAGACACGATAACAGGCAACAAAATTGTATTGCTGCAAAACAGAACAAAATCACGGAAAAGTATTTTCACATTTGGTATAATTCAAGCACACAATTAGTTCGTCAATAACACTTACTATACATAATAATGTAGGAAGAGAACCTAAATTAGAAATCATTAGTAAATTACAAAAAGCAACATTAGGATTCTACCTAAACAATAAACATCGTTAATCAAAGCGCGTAGCGATGTAAAAACAGTTTGACTTAGAATTATTGCTTGTAGCAAATATTGTATGATGAATAATCATCATAGTCATCGAAGTAAAAAAATACGAAGTTTAATACCATTTAAAGGTTCCGAGTTGTGTATAGACAAGTCAAACAATGAACACTGAATTCGTTTGAAATGGCTTCATCTGATTGTTATACCAATAGCACGAAAAAAAAATACGTACCAAAGACAGTACTATAGAAAAGTAATTTGCTTCAGGCAACTTACTGGAAAATCTGCCCCAAATCAGAGACATAACATTCGAATCGAAATGAAATTCTAAATCTTTTGATATAATATCATCTTATGGTATTCACGTTTCAATTTTTCGATCAAAGTGCATCAGTGACTCTCGAATCTTCTATAGAAAGCTTGAGTCATTGGTCTTTAGGCATCATACCATAATACTATTTCATAGGATCAACTTCAAAATACAAAAAACCCAGCGGCGGATCTAGGATTTTTTTGATAAGGGGCGATTTTGACCAAAAATCGAGTTTTGAAGTTCATTAGTAGTAGTATGCACTCTATTTTTAAGTCTTTTCTGCTGGGAAAAATCGAAAATTTTTTTTTCGAATGGGGGCGATCGCCCCAAGCGCCTCCCCTAAATCCGCCACTGAAAAAACCTTGACATCTTGTGTTCGCTATTCGCATCAGGAATCATTATATTTACGCAAGATAAAGGTCTTGACAATGAGAAAAAGAAGAGTCGCTTTTTGTCTGTTTATTATTTTCTTCTTTTTGTGTTCTGTTTCACACATAGCGCAAAAAAATTTGATCCTGTAGATAGCTATTTCTTCATCATGAGGATGTTGATTGCAAAATGAAACTTGCATAAAAGTAGGCATTTTGTTTTGATCATTTTATTTTATATAAAACAACGATAGATTTAAATATTTTCATGATCACTTTTTGTCAATGTGACAAAGAAATAAGTATTTGAACGTATATTGACGAATTCTCAATTCATAAAATATCAACAAATTAAAATAAAATAATTTAGTTGAGTATTGAAGACAAAATCGTAGACAATACATCATCAATATCAGAGAAAAAACAAGTATTATTGATCAATAAATATATAGTCGTCATGATAATGATGTAATATTTGAAGAAATAAATTTGAATGTATCGAAATATCAAAGAGACATTGTATTCTTTAACCAAGAATTCATGTTTTTCAAATGCGATTTCATGTAATCTATGGTTCGTAAAAAGCTCATAATTTCAGATATACTATTCATATTAATAAACAATTTATCAATGTTAATGCACTTCAAATAATAGATCGACTAATTAACAACCTGAATATATAATAGATAGAAAAGTATTTAACCAATTGTTCCACATGACACCGAAACTGTTAAATAAATATCAAAGAATCCGAACGATTCTTAACGGAAAAGTTTTAAAATATTAATATTGAAATAAATTGTAGATTTTCTCTGAAAAATTGATTTATTCCTATTAGTTCTTCCTCAAATTAATCAATCAAATTTTACATGAAAATATCATATAGCGCTTCGTGACTCATCTGTCATTCGGAAGATGAGATAATTCAACTAGACATATATAGGAAGAGTGTTGCCTCTGCGCAAGATATTTTTCAAAAATACTATGATTATAGGAGCAGCTTGTTTTTTAGGAAGTATGTAAAATTGCATGAATTTGTACCCAATTTGATTGTCTACTAGTCTCATAATGAGCATCGCGGTGAATCTGATGAATTCAATATAACTGTGATAATTTAGCACAATGACGAAAGAAATTTTCGAAGAGGTCCTCGAAAATCATTATGGTAGCTTTGTCTCTTCTAGGGCAGTAGCAAGTCTCTAGTCACAATGGACATCTATGGTTTATAAGTTCATTTTTTGCAAGCGACTGTCAGAGTTTTTGATTTAGATACAAGCTAAGTGAAGGATTTGAACAGATAATGTATATAATTCCATCGATTTCGTTCAGAGATGTGGTAAGAGAAATTAAAATAAGACTCAAAGTATGTTTGTGTTTTAGAGAATGAGATTTTATTAATGTTGTTTCATTGACGAAAGACAATTTACTCAATAACAATAAGTTATATAACAACTGTAAGTGAGATGCTCTTAGGTTTTACATATTCAAGCATTCATGCAATAATTTATTCTGTTACAGAATCAAGCTTATTTTTAACAGTTTTTTTTGCAAAAATTGCATTACAATAAAAATAAATAGGGTATTGTTTGAAAGAACTTGGATTATAATATGATTTCAATTTCGATCGTATGCTTGTGTTTCAAAAGAATTTTTATGCTATAAATTTGTGTACCGATTATGAGCAGATGTAAGATACACTCATGTTTAGAATGAGCGTTAAAGAAAGAGTTAGCGTCGACAATGAAAATTCTTTTCAAAACTCATCACCTTATCAGCAGTACATGTGGATGTTGATAACATAGTAGTAATATTTAGTAATATCAGGGAGCGAAAAAAGTACAACTGACAATCATTTATTCAGAAAATAAGGTTTTTACATATGAACGTACTTTTTTTTATTGTTATTTTCTACAGTATCGTTTGCATCATTTCTCAACTAGTCTAAGTTTACCTTTACTCCTATTAACACTAATGTTTTCTTATTGCGGCTATTATCACTGCGACAATACATGATGACACTAGTATTGTACATGAAAACATTGGTACAATAATGCTGTTATCTTCATCAAACTAATGTTCTACCGTTTAAACACCAGCAATGGCTAATCTTAGTGAATTGAATCCGCATATCTGTTGATGACTTGGTTTAAATTATTCTAAGCGCCATTCGAACAATTGGTATCCAGTTGTGTATATGTTTTGCACTTCAATCATGACTAGCGAATTGACTTTTCTTGCTGCATTAACGAATGATATGAAATGTTCATCAGCCATTTATTGTGAGTTGAAAGTATGGATAGAACAAAATTGGTAAAAGTACAATTAGTGGTGGATTTACATTCAAGATTCACTTATTGTCACACATGCTTTTCTCATATTAGGCGTAGAATGGTTGACTATAAATATGAAATCGATTCTATCATTGATAGTTCATACTGTATTAAATAATGGGTCAAGGACTGGGAAGGTGATATCGATTTGGTATGGGTATTGCAAATTAAATTGTATTATGAACTTATCATATCTACTGTTGTACACGGTTTCGAACTCATGTGACATACTGTACCAATACAAAAACTTTCAATGATAAGCATATGAACAGTTTGGTCATATCCGTATGTAGATGTGGATATGGCTGTGTTTGTTGATAATCTTTTCCCTGCACCTACACCCACTCCTTCTGGTTTGGGTTCCGGATAAAAGAAATTGAAAAATGTCAGTTCCAGTTCCAGTTCGACGCTCGATCTCATTTTATTGGGAACCGCAGGATGCTCACCACAACCATTAGCCCAAGTATGTGGTGATGCTTGAGCTACAAAGATTTAGTATTTTTATTTAGCAACATATAAGAGGTTTTCAAATACATCAAAGAATAACGTAGACAGCTGTATTCAAAAATGCATTCTATCTGAGCCATGGCCATCGAATGTTATAGTTATGAAGATTTGAAAGTTGAACGTATAGATAATCCTGTAGTTGATTTATATCCTCGCGATGCTTAATATGGTAGCAGTGAAAAATATGAAAATGTTGATTCATGACCATTATTATTCACAGTAGGAGAATAACAACTAAAGTTCTATATTATAAATACATAATTATAGTAACCAGAATGGTAGAGATAGTATTGATGTTTAATAAACCATATTTATTCTTAGAGAACAACAGACAGAAAACAGAATATTTTAAGAATGAGGATGAACCATTGTATGTCCCTAGTGCTTGTGATCCATTTATTCAGCGGGCGTCGGTTTTATAATTTGATTAACTTTTGGTTAATAGCAGTAGTGCATATGACAAATGTAGTTCTATGCCATTAAGTGTTTACATAGAACAGTCAGGTGCTTATGATAAATTCTATATAGTGAGAACTATGATAGTTTCATTATCACAGCAGTATATGTAACACTGACAGATGGTACGTTTGTTGTCAATGTCAATCGACCGAGATCGAATGTACAAGCAATAATAGTTGAACTTTACAAGGTGCTATTCAACTGTTACTTATCCTTTCAAACAACAGTGAGTTAGTTGGTGTAAGTATGTCAGTAACATTCAAGAAAAACAATGAATATGCAAAGATATTTCAAGCATAGAGTGTGGTGTTAGCATTATTTTTTGTCATGTAATTTTAA